AGGGCTTAAATTTTTTAAGAAATGGTAAAATATCTCTAATAAATTATTAAAGGATAATCACTATAAGACACTCGCGTAAATTTTTAATTTATATAACAAAGTTACGATACTGGAGAAGATTAAGCGTACCTAGATAATTTACTATTTATTTCTTAATTCGCTAATAAAAGCTAAGCTATTGACAGTCTATAATAAATTTATAACTACTCTAAAGAGTTTTAACTAGAGAGTATATAAAAGCTTTTTATAAGAACCAGAATAGTTGGATAATAATAATATATTTGCGAATAATACTTGGCTTATAAGTTATAGTCTACAGTAACTATTATAGGGCTGTTTAGGTCTAAAAACAATTATATAGTTTAGTAAGATATTAGGGATCTTATTTATCTATACTAGAATCAATATACGAAGTACCGGATAGCCTGCTTATAAATTTACTCTTATTTAAATTAAAGGACAAAGTGATTATTAAAAATAATTTAATAGAGTATATAATAAGACTACTTATAGTATATAACTAGTTTATATATAATAAAAGATAATTAAAAACTATTGTTTTTAAAGAGTATTAACCCATAGTCTTATCGAGAGTTATATACTAAAGAACCTTTATTATAGCTTTCCTTTTCTTTAAATATAATAAAACCCTTTATTCTTTTTAAATATTAACTAGTAATCTATTATTTAGGTCTAGGTAATCTATAATATATTAATAAAATTTAGTTTAAAAAATAATTTATATAAAGAAAATAAGCTGAACTATAAATAATAATCTATCTATAATTCCAGTTCCCAGAATAATAGTATTACTTAGTTAAATACAAAAGAAATTAATTTTCTCAGTCTATTTTAAAGAGAAATATAACTGGTTTCTCTTGCCTCCGTTTTTTCAGTGTTAAATAAGATATTATAATAATAAGTAGATACAGTCAATATCTAATAATATAATTTAACGCAATCTTATATTTGGTATAATAATTTCCAAAATAAATACTTATTTTATATTTATTAGATATATAAACTTTTTACTAACTTAATATAATTTAATATCTATTGATATTATATTTATAAATTAGATAAAATATATTTATTATAGTATACTGTTATCTCTCAAAGTTCGGGGTTAAGATAAATAAAAAGTAGAATAGTAAACTTCTACGTTCTCTATTAAGCTTTAATATCAGAATTAATCTATTTTTAACTTAAGTTTAACAAAATATTATATATTAAATAGTAATATCTATATATCGCACTTATATATTAGGATAATTATATATATATATAATATATCTTCCTAACAATACATAGATATTTCTAGATAAAAATGCCATTATTAGATTTAATTGGGTATATATTATAAGAAAGGTGAAAAAAGTTATAGATTAATAGAGAAGGCTCCAATACAAAAATATTTATTAAAGATTAGAGTATATTTATTTACAGTATAGTCCTCGCCGCAGAGAGCTCTTATCTAGCGGAAAAATTTCGGGATAGCTTTCGGAGAGGTGAAAGCCGTGATTTATATATAAAAAATATAAATCTATAAACAATATATTAGATTCTATATTTTATTTACTTTGGAGAGTTAAATATAAAAATATATTAAAAGATTTATTTTTTATAAAATTAAACTGACCTATGGTGTCTGAGCTTCCTCTTTTGTGGTAGTCTTGTTGCCGCCTTTATGGTTGTTCTACACCGAATCCTATCCACTAGTAAATATGATCACAACTTCTTCCAACTTTCCAAGGTACAGTTTTTAATAAGACCCACTTATCCAGAGAATGTAAAAGTAGACTAGGTATAACTTACTTAATAGTAAGCCCTAGAGTACTATAGTATAGTCTAATCTATTTAATATAAATAGTATACATCCTCCGCCAACTCAAGTAATCAAATATAATTTACAACTTCTAAATTATCGATTTGTCTCTATATCTCTACCCTTCCGCTCTGTTATATTGTTAGTAACCGCCTGCGCTCTTCTACTACAGTACACCCACCCGATTTTATTCGACTACAACAGCTCTCAGCGTCTTACCACGTGGCACGCGCAGGGGGATTGCCTCTTGAGGGCCCTTCCAAATCTACTATGATATCAATAGGGAAGCAAAGGCTTTATACCATGTATTCTCAGGAATACACTGCTACTCCTAGTGATCAGCTGACAATATCATCCATAAGTGATGCCAGCACTGAATCGGAATATCTCCCAGAAGGGGAGGAAGAGAAAGAAGAACAAGACGACGACAACGACAACGACGACGAGGACGAGGACGAGGAGGAGGTAGTGGTGGAAACGAACAATAACAACTGGCTGCAACTGGAGAATGAACTCAATGAAAATGAGCTGCATCAAAGGCAGTACCAGCAAAAGACAATCAATATTAAAAACAGGGTCTGGAGTCTATGGTGCCAGTAAGACTATAAAGCTGCTAAGCTATATTATAGAATAGTTAAAGAAATACTAATCATGGGCTAGATTCTGTATTGCGACTAATCGAGATACTCTAACACTTATAAAAGAAGAGCCACCAAATATCAAAACACTCTGCACATTCTTTGACTATATACTTACAACGCGATATAAGTATATTAACTCTTCTTCGACACTACGAACATACTGGAATTACTGGGTACTTCTGAGACGGGAAAAAGTAGGACTTTCACTTCCAGCAATTACTAAGGACAGGATGGTGGGAGTAAGTTTTAATAATTCACTGTATCCAAAGTCCCTGCTACTTAGTCCAATACTAACCAATCAGGTCCGACAACGGCTAGTGAAAAAATACAATCTTCGAACAGAGAAGAAGACAGAAAACTCAATCTTACGCTGGGAAGATGTCTTTGAGTTACTGAAAGTACTTTGGACTACTGGAGGCGAGGCATGGGACCCAGTACAGCTTTCCTTGATACTTCTACTTGCCGGTATGAGTGGACACCGACCTGATGCACTGCTGTCCCTCAAGAATGCAAATATACAAGTTGCATTACTTCCTACAGGAAGGGAACGACCACATATGGTCCTTGAGTTCAAACCCCATAAGACCAAGCGTTATCGGGGGATGAAAAAGAAGAAGTAAGTCCAGTTCCCCTTCCATAATGTGACCGTCCTTGACCATGCTGCCCATAGTCCGATATTGGGAATACCGGAAGTTCGTAGTGAGCCTTGCTTACTGCTCTGTCCTCAGTCATTTTTATTATCTTTGTTAATACGCAAGTCCGCTTTCCACCATCTCCATATTACATCAGCAACGCAGCTATACGCATTGCAGGTCCCTCCAGATACAGGATCGCTCTTACTTCGCCCTGCAGACCCTGAATGTTTCCTGTTTGATATCACTCCTAGGACTTTAAATACCTGGCTGAAACGACTAGGTGAGCTGGCAGGCTTTAACCTGTCAATTACATCATACTCTCTCCGGAGAGGGGCCGGTGAAGCTGTCAATAGCAGCTGTATGTCCCACATGTCTAAGGTACGCAGGTGAAGTACTTTGCTGACCTATTTCTAGCTGAGATCAGTGAGGCTCAGCAGAATCTGCTCCTCCAGCATGCGGCCAACTCGTCTGTCTATCAGGAGCGGTATGCGCCAGATTATTTTCCCAAGGATTTTAGCGCGGTATGGCGAGGAAGTCAGCCTCAAAATAATGTAATCCGGATGGCTAGTGGGCAAAGCCGCTCGATCGACCTGCGTCGTCCAGTTGATCTTAATAAGGCTCAGGCAACGGAAGCTGATGCACAGCCTGAGGTTCAACGTTGCAAGGCGCGCTGGGAGCGATCTCGACTAAAACTCCAGACAGAATATGGAGCAATGTACAAAGCCAAGGGAACACCATTGTATCAAAAAGCGATGAAGAGGCGAAATGCCTACCACACTGCACGTCAAGCGGCTCGTCGTGAGATGAAGGCACTCATCCGAGCTCGGTTTAATGAGGAGCAACCAAAAGAAGATATTATACGGCAGATATATGGGCTTCCAATGGAATCTAGGAAGGCACATAAGGCTGACCTCGTTCCCTCTGAGCAGCAGCGCGCGTTTTTTCTTCTTTTCCAGTTTGCACCTAAGACAGAGGGTGAAGAAACCGAGTGCAGGGCTGCAGTCGTTGATGCAGTGTCTAAGGTTGGGCCGAGCTGTAAACGCCGGCTTCAGGAAATACATAGCGAAGGCCCAACACCTAGATGGATGACAGCAGCGCTCCAAGGTAAGCGACATGTCCAATTGGCGCGACGACAATGCCTCTTGTGTATGATCTATGGTGTTCGCGGAGAGCCTTTCACTCGAGATTCAAGCTTCGAGCGGCATATCCGTAGAATCCATAACAAGCAAATACAGTGTCCTGATCCTGCCTGTCAGGATATGCTTATTGGCCACATTGATATTGCTAATCATATGCGATATATACATGGAGCATAGTATTTCTCTCTCTTATACGTGCTTTTATTGGTTTTCACAGTGTACGCTTTATCCGAACCCCTGTTTTTAGACATATTGTTATTCTGAGAAAAGGCGTTCAATAGTCTTACATATGCCACTGTTATCTGAGTTAAGTTTATAGAATAATACTTGTTCTATATATAAGGATTCTGACTTTTTTATTGGTTGAAGCAAGTTTAGTAAAGCCTTACCTTACTAATTAGTCCTATAGCTACTCGCTGAAACACACCTGAAAGGGAAGATTTCAAGATTTTCAAAAGAGTTATAAAGTATCTGAAAAAGGGAGAATAATTATTTCCCTCTTACATTCGTGCTACTTAGTTAATTATAGGTGTTTCTCTTATATCCTACTTAGCCTAAAGGGCTGAACCCAAGTAGTAGATCATCTATTACAATAGTATTTATACTTTCATTATATCTAGTATCTACTTTGGCCACCCTTTTAGATAATATCGACTGAATATAACATATTTCCCTTTAGCACATTTTGCTGCCTTAGAGCTATTCTCCGATATTCCGTAAGCCCTGAACTAATATACTTCTAATACAAAGTGTCAAGTATTTAAAATTTTACTGCTTCCTCGCCTAGTTGTATAGCGAAGAAGTCAGCATACTCTTGGTCAATTCGTTTTAAAGCTGCAGTGAATTCTTGTTGCGATTTCTGAAGCTTTGTAAAACTAGTATCAATCCTGTCGATCATAACGCGGTAGTCATCAATTGCAGTACGGAGCAAGCTTGTGTTGCGAGACCATATGGTACCAAGCACGCTTTGTCTGAACAAGACAGATTGTCGCTTGTTATTTGTGGTTAATGTATCAAGGCGGTGGAGGCAAGCACGTAATTCTTGAACTGCTGTATACGCCAGGAGAACAGTTTCGATTTCAGCTTGGAGCAGGATCGATGCTCGCCGAACCTTGCGATAATAGGCATTCTCAGCTCGTAAATAGGATGCCTCATATACTGCTCGCAAAAGATGATCCTTCTCAGTATAGAGTTCCTGCTTCGACCACTGTAACCGACATGGGAGCAACTCCACGGCGGAGCTATGGCCCCCGTGCTGTACAATCTGGAACTCAACTGATGTCGGTCGGTCAGGCCGGGACCAATTATCAGTGAAACTTGAAACCGTGGAAACTGCTTGGTGACGGGGTCGCTGTAGCTGGGTTGTTGACAGCAGAGGTTGATAGAGCTTATTACTGGCCATAGTTTACCTAAGAAAAGCTCACATCCACCGTACTAGATCCAACATATATTAGCAATAAAGAGGAAGAGAGGTATATAAAGATATATAGCTAGTAATTGTTATAGAACAATTGGAAATATCGTACATAGACATAACTTTATCCAAGATCAACCCGTGTTATTATTAAGATACTATATCTCAGATCAAAGTGCGATTCAACGGCCTAAATTACTATAGTAAAATAGCCCACTATCCAATAACAATATATCTATATAATTTTGACTTCTGCATATAAAATATAGTAGTAGTATTCTCTAAACTCTAAAACGTATACTAGCTAAATAAATTTCTGAAGTAAGCTACTTCTGAGATTAGCTATATTTATAACTTAAAAGAACCTATAATATATGCGGATATATAGTCAATCCTTTCATATATACATTGGTAATTCCTGGGTCATGCCTTCCTATCGTATTTCCCAATGGGAGGAGAACAAAGGATATTGGCGGCACATTCAGGAAAGAAGATTGATTAATCTTCCCCCTACATTTAACCCGACATTCAGGACATTGCACATATATATGGTCTGATTCCAATCGTTTGTCGTTATACTTCTCGTAGACAAGTAAACTAAAACACATGCGATGGAACATATGACCGCAGGGCACAGCAATAAAGTCTTGCACACCTGTCTCGAGGCATATAAGACATTTTATTCCTTTCTGACTATTGGCAAGATGGGAAGATGTTGAAGCTACAACATGACTTTGTCTGTTTACTTCCTCTTCATCTTCAATAAGGATAGCGGAATCTGCCCACTGTAGTTAGTATTTTAATATTAGACTAGATTAAATCAGAGATTTCTTACCGCGCGTAGTACCGGGTCGAGGAATATACAAAGCATCTGGAGTTGCCAATCTATCTCTTGAGATATTGGACCTGGTAGCGGAATAACATGCTTTATCATGATGCGAAGGTAGCAGTATCGGCGATTGAGAGACTCGAGTCCCTGGGTATTGTAGGAGATGGTTAGCTGGAATTGGAGATTTGTTACATTTGTATGTAATAACCTACTCGAAAGCCGTTCCATATCCGATGAGTAAAGCTCTCGGATCACCATATGGTATAATACTGTCACGTGTCCTCTCATTCAGGGTAGATATAAGTTAACTAGATATTATTGAGTAGAGATTATAATTATAAAGGCTTTCTAAGAGGGAGTTATAATACTTTAAACGCGAATATAGAGATAGAATTTCTATCCTATAAAGTATACAGTACTAGAATTCACTTTTATACTCTATTTTCTTACGCAACCAGAACTTTATTTAAACTATTAATTTAAAATTTTATTTTATGATTGGCTTAGGTTCTTTGTAAAGAATTTCTGGAAAAGAATAATAATTTCTTTCTAGCCAATCTGTGTATCGCTGTATACTAATTAGTAAATACTAAATAGAACAGTCAGAATTTATATATCTTGATCTTATTCCTTCCATCACTCTTTATATCAGCTATTCTATAGTGTAGTTAATCCGTGGAATATATAGTATATAGTATACTTCTTTATCCTAAGCTTTTCTTTAGTCTGTTAGGTGTTCTTTATTTTTGCGGTGACTAGGTAGGTGCTTATAAACTGTTATTATGTAATAGAGGCTCACTCCATATAACTAACTATTATAACAAGAAGATGACTAAGGTACATAGGGTCAGGCTCATGTATTTAGAAATCACACTCTGGTAGTGTTAGTCGACGTGAAGCACCCAGATACCTTACAGGTGTTTCCATCGCAGTATAATCTGGGGGTCCGGGCGGTACATCGTTGTATATTGGGGGCACCTCTTCATCCCAGCTAATGCCAAGTCCGCTGCGCTCAGACATGCGCAAACCTGAACACATACGAAGCACAATAGCAGGGCTCGATGTTGCAGTTATCCAGGCATTGCGCTCCGCAGCAATCAACTCAATGATAAGACTGTGTTTGACCTCCAATCCTTTACTATCCGCGACATCACACACCGGTTCACGAGTATAGTCGATACTCGCTTCAAACTGCAAACTAATCTCATCACTCCCTGAATCTAACTTGTACCTCGACCCGTTACTCTTCTTATTGCGCCCAATAACTCGTGTGGTTCTGTGAATAACACCCTCCGCTTGAGACTTCGACGCATGCTTAGAACAGGGATGAGATACTATTTTCACATGCTCTTTGATATGCCATTTGACATTTTGTATGTATAAATGGTTTCGGTTAGGCTTCCCTTTATCCATGACCCCGCTCAGCGCCACTCGGACAGGAAAACTACCCATAGGGTGCACAACTGACGGCACAATAACGTGACTGGTCAGGTTCGTCCGTGGAAACGTGTAGAGCAAGGATGTCTCATTTCCCTGGGGAAGGGCGCGTTTGATGTGCAAAGGCATCGTGGATGAGTAGCTTCTACCAACGATGTCTTCCGCCTGGGCCGAAAGCACATACGCAATGCCGCCTAAAGGGGTGTTGCAGAAAGCGGGCAGCTGACCAGGGAATAGATAGCTAAAAGGGAATTCGTGATGACCTAACGTGAGGTACATAGGTCTGGTTATGAAGTTCCAATTTGACAGCTCTTCAACTCGAGACGCACAGCTAGGGCATCCCTTTACGACCGGTTTCACAGTTGTTAAACGAATTGCCAACGTCAGATTGAGTTTGATAATCTCAATTGGCCTTGTGTGTTCCCCGATGGTAAATTGTAAGCGGCCCGAGAAAAGAGCGCCCACTGAGTTGGTAGGGTCCCCATGGCATATAAGTGGTGGTGATTCAATGATGATACTTAATTTGGCCGTTTCACTCGGCCTAGCGTTCCTGAGATGCCCTTTCGAATAGGTATGTATTCCCTCGCTCTGACGGAACCCTTCTTGATAGGCTGTGCGAGGCTGAACGATGTGACGGAGGGTGAGGTGTATGTAGTATTTCCCGAGCCACGCCTTTTTCTTGTCTAAACCTGCAGATGACTTTCCCGATATCATAGTGTCATCTGTGTTGATATTCATTGAGACTACTGACAAAATATTGATCGAACAGCAGAATAGCACAAAGTATAAGATAATGTTCTTGAAATAATAAGAGGGTCGTTTTTGATTATTTTTGCAGTCCAGAGTCAGGTGCAGATCAAAGTCTGTCTCACTAGATTATAGAAGAGATTCGTCTCCTTTTATACTAAAACAGCCTTAACAAATCACTGGAGGTAACTAAAGCTTATTCGTAGTGCATGGTTAGTAAGCTTGGTCTTCAATATAGTTGCCTTTGATATCTATACAATGATCTGCGGAGTTGTAACAGCAGTTGCCTCAGGCAACTAAACCGTACCCCGTAAGCGAGGCGCCGGTGGGCCGCTGGCTGCCCTAACGCACAAATGTATTTATACCAAAATCGCGCTGAGGACTCCGACCCTCAAGCGATTTGTTCTGTTACACTTTCTATAGGAACTGCTATACAATCCTGAACAGCCTTTAGCTTCCCAGTACTACAATCTCATCCCCACTAAATATACGTTGTGTATAACGCGTAATACGCTATTCCCCATTTGGGATAGCGTCAAACTCGCCCGGCGGGACCCTGTAGTACAAAAATAAATGTTGAATAGAGAGTAGTCGGTCTAATATACTAACCCAGGCCTGAAGCTAAAGTGACCTAATTAATAGAGAATAAGGTACAATTCTTTTTATATAGATATCTACCTGGCCTGAATACCGGCTGCAGATTATCTAATTAGAGGGGCAGGCTACTGCAGTTGACTACATACTAGTATTCTATGGTTAACAAAAGCTCCTCATTGGGTGCCTTTTGGGTACTATTATACGTTTCTTTTAGGAGCTGTGCTTGCTTACCGTTTATAATATAAGCACAAGACATCTCCTAGAGTAAGGTAAGCTGCTGTTGCTTATCTAGTGCGCTTTTAGTAGGTTCCTGGCCCGACGAGATTTATCTCGCGAGTAACTTTATCCTCTTGATAAAAGACCTTGTGTCATATAAGCCGTCGCCTAAGTATATTCTACAGAGGTATAAAAGGCGGATTCATGAAAAGTCTTGTAATCTGGACCTAATTTTTCTATATATTGAACGCCTTTTTATTGGCAATTAGCTATCACTAAATCGAGCCGGGCCTAAAACAGGAAAAGGGTTTATCAATAACTAGTATAAATTTCTATACTATATGTTATAGTAGATTGCTATTATATTATAGATTATTATTCGAAATAAGATCCTCTCTTAAGCTAAGGTACTATTCCATATCTCCACTATCAGGAAGAACGCAATAAAAAGAAGCAGTGAATTGCTGGTTTGTCCACTGCACAACTGTTGGGAGGTTCGATATTCTATCCCGAGATTGAAAATCCCATGATTCCACTGGTGTAAGCTTATCTCTGTCCCTACATATTTCTCGTAAGACTTTACTTGCGCCTTTAGGTGAGCGATGAGAAGAAGGTGCCGTATAGCAGAGGAGTTTCCGTTATGCGTGGCCCACCATAGTGCACTGTGCCCTGAGTTATCGGTCAGATTAACATTGGCTGCAGGATTCCGGAGGATGTGTTCTACAACTTCTGTATGGCCCCCACGCGCAGCAAGGAGAAGTGCAGTTTCACCTCGCCAATTCTGAAAGTTGATTCGGGATCCCGTTCTTTGAAGTAAGAGTATTGCAATCTGACAATAACCCTCCTTAATAGCAATCATCAGTGGTGTTTGTACCAGCTTCCACCTTTTCCATCGCTCACTTCCATAGATTGGCGGTCGTTGAGCTGGTGAGTCATTATTTAACAGGAGGTCTTTCCTGGTAAGAAGTAGTTGTACCATTGGGATATCTCCATTATAGACAGCTATCCTGAGTGGTGAATATCCGAACCTATCCAGAGCGTTTGGATCTAAGTTCTCTCGCTGTAAAAGAGCACGGGTAATAGCTATATTTCCTGCCTGCACGACATGATGAAGAGATGTTGTCTGATCGAGGCCGATTGCGTTGACATTGATGTTATCTTTATGTAATAGCCACTGAGCCACGCATGGGTGCATTCGGAATGTTGCCCACCAAAGCGGTGTCTGGCCGTGTTCATCTTTGGCGTTGACATTAACTTTAGAATTGCTAAGAAGAAGTTTAACCACAGATAGTCGGCCATGTATAGCAGCCTCATGCAGCGCCGTCCATCCGTCATAATCAGGTATACTCGGATTGGTATTCTGATGGTGAAGCAACTGTTTGACATCCTCATAATGTCCTATACTTGCAGCCAGGGCCAATGGTGTTTTTCCCTCCTCGTCCTGTGCATTAGTATCCAACCCACTGGATAGAAGAAGCTCAAGTATATCACTTCGACCGACTAGCACCGCTGTGAATAGCGGGTTAGGCCCAAGCCTTGAGCCAACATCGGAGGCCCCGGGCGACGGACGAAGACCTGGATGTTGCAAAAACATCCTGATCATGGCCATGTGCTCCAGCGAAATTGCCCTCTGGAGCGGTGAGCTATGACTCCCATTCATTATATGCGCCGTAGCTCCTCTGTCCAGTAGCTGTTGCGCTGTATCTACACTGCGGAATCCAACGGCGTACCAGAGTGGTGATAAGGAAAAGCTATCGTAGACATTCACCTCAATATCTGGACGCTTGAGAAGGATGTTCATAGAAGAATAAAACCCTCTTTGTGCAGCGTCAAGCAGTGGAGTACAGCCCTTGGAGTCACTGTGAGTGACATCAGTCCTTGTATCGGTGAGAAGCATCTCCATTATACAACTTCTGTCGTACTGCACGGCATGGAATAATGGTGTCCGACTATGTTTGTCTGCCGTATTCACATCGGCGCGATCATCCGAGAGAAAGCATTGAACGACATCACGGTGCCCATTCAAAACAGCTACTGCAAGGGGCGTCCACCCGCTCACGACATCGGGGCAATTAACCAGCACTCTGTTTTCTTGAAGAAGTCGCGAGACAGTTATAGAATGGTTTTCAGCTGCCGCACACCAGAGGGCTGTCTGGCCTGAAGGGTTGGTCGCGTTGAGCCGGGTACTTGGATTCTGGAGAAGTAGCTCCATCACGAGTTGGGATCCGAACTTGGCTGCGACTATCAACGGAGTATTTCCTTCAGATACAACATCCGCCGTGGCACCTGGCACTTGAAGGAGGAATTGGGCCGTCCGGAGTTTGTCATGCCGTGCTGCCCAGAACAGAGCTGAGCTACCTTGCTTTTCAATATTGAATGAATACAGAGCCCTCATAACGATTGAGGACATGTTTTTGTTAATCAAGGAAAACGATAAAAGATCTTTGGCTGTGCAAAGTTTGTTGGTAATGTATAAAAGCATCTCTGGGGGTAGCTCTGTAAGATTCATCTGTACACCAAAATACTTTTTGGAGTCACTTCTGGAACCCATTTCCTGTGCTGGATTGAGTGGTTATATAGTGAAACAGCAAACAATAGAAGGTTTAAAATAGTAAGAGAACAGGATAATAGCATACTGTTATAAAGCAAAGGTCTATAACAAGGAAATAATTCAAGGAACCTGTTAAAGAGTGTCTATTGCTGCGTACAATGCTTAACTTTGTAGGCTCTCAGTATATTGCGATAAGCGTTTTATGCACTGCATGCGAATTTAATATACTTTTAAAATACATAGTAATTTCCTTTTGACCAATTGTATTTATCAAGACATTGTGAATTATTATGCCATATGCCATATAGACATGTACATAGGTGTAAGATTTAAATTTTATTAATACCAGTGTATAGGTTCACATGTCATACTTCTTTCGTACCTGACAATCCTTACTACTCCAGCAGCTAGCAAGACAACGTTACGGATATAGATACTATTTAATCTTTCTAGCCCCAAAGGCATCGATCTAGAGATACCTTAAATATGATTGTCCCGTATATTCTAGTATTCTGGTGTTTCTGAAATCTAGGACTGGTTCTACACAAGGTATTTCCCTGTTTAATACGGAGAGTTTCTATATTGTCTCAAGGAAGCTATATTACATACACTGTTTTAGATTCTTCTCATCGAGTATAGTATAATAGGAAGAAGTATACTGAAATGAATTGAATGGCGGCTTTTTAAGCTAGACATAATGTCACATATCCGTATGATGTAATTCAAGTTCTTGCTTCAGTAGCCCCATCGAGAACATCCTGCGACAAACATGGCCCAGTAGTGTTGGAACAAAATTGTATGTCGACTGGCAGAGTTGGTATCTCCTCAAGTTGGCTAGGGACTCCTAAAGGATCATTGGACTGATCAAATGGGAAAGGTCCGGTGGGAAAGTTAAGAAGCCCATATGACATGGTTTGGCTTTCTGTAGCCGAGGATTCTTCAACACCAGGCTGCGATGCACCAAAGCTCGCTGGAGTCAACAGCTTTGCAGACGGGAACAGGCGCCTCTATATCATGGTCAAAAACTGCAGCAACCTTTGTTAGGTTTTGAACGTACAATCTGAGTAAATGACGGCGGAAACCGCTTATCCAGGGTATTTCTATACTCAGTAACCCTTCCATCACGGTCTTGAATAAACATATACACCCTGGCGCCGGAAAGAAGACCGTAGTCATGTAGGCCTTGAACGGTACGCTCTTTCCGTCGTTTTAAACGTTCTCGGGAGTTCTTAGTCCTCCGGCGTTCCTGATCCTTTTCTTGCTTAGTAGTCATGATAGTAGGCTGTTTTCCTCCTTAGCAACAACTTTAAGGGGCGAGTACCCTTTTGTATGCTCTCTATATCGCACCTTTCTCAGTTAACCTTCTTCGGGAGTAGAACCAGAACTAAAGCGCTGTTAAAAGAGTGGCCTAATCAATACTTCTATCCAGTATCCCTGGAGCAGTAGAGGAGGATCAACAGAATCCCTTGGATCTTTCGTTATATAATACCGGTGGTACATTGGAAATTGATATATACTATACTATTAAATGGCCCTCTTACTAAAGAACAAGGGATGGTGTCCAATATTCTTAGGATGCTATATCTATTTTCTTAAAAGATATAACTGGACATTACTATAAGACCTAAAGTGACGCGGACTGATGACTCGCTAAGGTAGAAATATAACCGTATACGTAAGCTGGATGTTAGACCTTCCATGTCTATGACGGCCCTACCGACTATATCTATTAACAACTCTGTTTCTTCTTTAGTAACCATAACTCCCTGAATTATATTCTAAAGTAGCTATTAGTATTGCTGATCCCCAATAGAGTAAATACTTAATCGGGCTGCATTATTTCTAAATTTTTACAATGGCCTCTATAGAAGCGCAGTCTTACATCGACGCCTTCATAACATCTTGGCTCGAGATTCTAACTGGGAAGTGGCTCCACAGTAGGTTCACTGTTTAGACCAGGATGGTAATCAAGAAAGTATTGAGATCAGCCCCGTATAGTATGTCCAAGATAAAATACATAAATTCCTAGAAGGATAACGTTATGTCCGTTCGCTAAGTAATAATAGTACATGGGGGTAATTTATCGAGTTTAAATCTTGTAGAAATAAGAACAGCTCGTTGAGTAGCTACCGCCGTACGCCCATGCACCCTAGTTAATTAGGTGGGTCTGTTCCCTATGGGAGGTATAGTACTAGCGTATCACCCGTGATAGATATTCTTTTATTATACTAAATTATGATTGCGGTCGCATATAATAAGGCAATGTGCCTCAGGCTGATGCACGCACCAGGGGCCAGAGTATGATACGTCCTAAAGAACAAAGCCTTTCTAGTTATATAGAGACTTGATGTACATGTAGTGAAGGATCTCTAGCACCGAAAATATATTGTTACTTGACCGTGAGTCTGGGCATTAAGGACTAAGCGCAAGACTTTGACAAGGCCAAGGGTCCTATCATACTTGACATAACTACAGGATAATGTTACCTTTGGAATACAAGAGTGAATCTCAACAATTAAATAAGCCTTCTAGATGTCTTGGCTAATTTTGAATTTAACAGCATAGTAGATGATGCGCCGAGGTACAGTCAACCCTAACTTAGCGGTGGGGACCCATCACCGAATTCTGCATCATCCCTTCACCATAAACCAAGATTGTAGATTGATCTGTAGGCACTGGAGTATTTGCGCGGAGGGTATTCCTTCCATTGCTCCCTGCCAATGGGATGCCTGGCCACCCACCACTATCCATCCCATCGAAACCTGTACTGCCCAGATAGTATGGGTCGATTATAGAAGGTGCTAAGGCAAGTTCCTCGCATGGTGTTTGATCTCCCTGGGAATGCTGATTTTCCTCAGTCATGATCGTGTGGTCGAACCCAGTATCTACGCCAAAGGTAGCGGAAGGAGGGCAGCAATAGGATTGACTCGGCATGTTTCCCTCCGAAATGCTGGGAGGCTGGCCACACCATTCACAGCTTTTGGTGCTTAATAGGTCGTGAGAAAAGGGACACTGGATGTACGTCCACGGGCCTTGTTCTTCCGAATATCTCCACCGTGGGGCGTAGACAGCAAGTCCTACTGTTTCGTCCATCGAACTGTATAGAGACGTCGAAACATTCCCGGTGGTCATTTCGGGGGCTGTTAAATGAATAAACTGATGGTAGCTTTGCATATTGGATAAAAGGCTTGACGGATTCGAGGTTGAATCAGTTATAGTATGATTCTCAGGGGGCTGCCAGTCGCTGGTATGGGTGCTTAGGCCGTCGGTGTAGATACCCATACCAACAGTTGATGATTCAACACAGCGCATCTCCGTATTGAGCATATTGTTAAAACTTGTGGTAGTAGAAGATGGAAATTCCATGCCTGTAGTACTTTCAACATTGGGTTGACTGGCACAAATATAATCGTGGTAGTGGTTGCCAAAGGCTGCACTCGGCGTATCTTGGCATGCACCTGCTTTCCTCCAGATCAAGCTATTATCATCCCACAGGGAACTTCCACTTTCAGAATCCATCAACGACTGACAACACTGTTAAAAAACATCACAAAGTGTGTGGGCGCTTTCCGTCGTGAGATTTAAAGTAAATATTATGAAGTATCACTTACAGTGTTCCTTTGGGAAGACATAATCCACGGGGTTCCATACTCTCGCGATGGACTAGCTTTGAACTATTCGAGACGGGTTAGATTGTTGAGTCTAACTTCAGGGAAGGGGATCCTCACTTCAGGTAGGACATAATCTAATGCCTGACTAGTACGAGGGTCGAGAGTCTTATCTATTAATTCAGTGGCGGGGCCGTTCAAATCCACTGATCCATTCTGTCCTAGTTCAACAAGGTTGTTGGCTATCTGATAACGGCGGTCTCCGAGTTCTCTGCTAGCTGCGTTCTGCGCTTCCTGCTTTCTGTCGGTCATATTGGCGGGGCCACGGTCTTTATTGATAGCTATCCAATTTTCTTTTGCCGTACTTAGAAGACTTTCGAGATAGCCTTTTAGGAAACCTATGTCCAGGGTTGGGAGAGATTTGGCCTGTCTATTTCATTATCTTTTATTGTCTATGTTCCACTAGCTCTATTTATATATACAGCACCTGGTGGCCAATACAAAATCTTGGGATACTATCCAGACAGGGAAAAGGAAAAAAAAAATTGGAATGCTATCTATTCTATGTTTGGGCTCTGACTGGAATCTAATAACGGAATGGAATACGGATACTATTTCTACTGGGGCTAGAGAGCAGCGAGATCGGGCTTAAATAACGATACTTAAATGCTTAATGTAGCACTCGTTCTATTAAAAAGAAATACTTTTCCCTGTCAGACCTATATACATGGTTTCAGCCTTTGTTCCTCGTTATCCTTATAGACCTCCATTCTCAGAAACTCGTGCAAGATGTCGCTTCTGGTCCTTCCCACAGAACTCTTACTGTGTATTCTGGACAGTCTGGATAAATCAGGTGATATTCTTTCTCTGTGCCTCACACATCCCAATCTATGCAAACGACTTGTGCGCGCTCTCTATATGTTTAATGTTAAATGGCAACACAGCTCCGCACTACACTGGGCAGCATATCACGGAAATCTAAAAGTCGCTTGCATACTGGGCTCCTATAGTGCCAATATCAATTCCCTCATCAAGGGAATTCCACCCCTCCATCATGCTGTGAGCTGCCAGCAGATTGACCTAATCAAATGGTTCCTTTCTTGGGATCATCTTGATATCAACGTCCAAGACCCCTTTCGCAAGACTGCTCTGCATCGCGCCGTTCTCAAAAATAATGAAGAGGCAGTAGCTCTGTTACTTCAGAAAGAAAATATCAACGTGAATACGCAGGATATAAACGGAATGACCCCACTACATCGAGCTATTCTTCGCGGCAATCTATCGATTGTTCAACAACTTTTAAATTATAGCTCAATTGACCTAGAGCTTCGCGGTATGGATGGTCATTGGGAGATCTATGATGAATCACCGCCCCTGTGTGTTGCCGTCATGCGCGGTGAATTTGATATTGTCCGTCTTCTACTTTCGTTTCCGATCAACGTCAACAACAGCGACAACGGTGGCAAGTCTGCATTACACCTCGCAGTGAATAATGCTGACTACAACCTCGTTAAGCTGCTCCTGGACCAGCCGGACATTGACCCGAACATCCAAGACGATGAAGCTACTGCCGCTATACATATAGCTGCCAAAGGGGGACATCAGGCGATCGTTAAGCTGCTCCTCAGCCAGCCAGGTATTAACCAGAACATCCAGAATAACTTTGGAGATACTGCTCTACATATAGCTGCCCAATTTGGACGTGAGTCAATAGCTAAGCTTCTTCTCCACCAGCCTGGCTTGGAGGTGAATATAAGGGACCATCAGGGACAGACTCCTTTGTGGTGGGCCACAAAGAACAATCACCTCTCCCTTGTTAAGCAGCTATTGGCAGAGAGCCATGTGGACGTTAATATTGTGGGTCAGGACGCCTCAACCTCTCTCCACCATGCAATTGAGAACCAAAGCTCGCATCTAGTAATGCTATTGCTCTGCACGAACGGGATTGATGTAAATATTTCCGACGAGAGTGGGAAAACACCACTGGAGTGGGCGGTCTATAAAGGTGATATTCAGATGGTCGAAATTCTTCTCTTATCCCCCACCATCAAGATTGAATCGGCACTAGGTAGGGCGGCTGCACTTGGCCACATCCAGATCATTAAACTACTCCTTCAGCGCCAACCCAATGCAAACCTGAACTTCCGTAATGAGTCAGGGATGACTGCACTAGCCCAAGCTGCCTCTGCCGGGCATATGAATATTGTCAACTACCTCCTCCAGAGACGTGATATAGTTGTGAATCTCCACGACTTTGACATATAAACGCCTCTGTGGTGGGCGGCTATGTTATCCATTAAGAATTTACTTACTCTTTTGAACTAGAGTAAGCCTCTTATCTAGCATAGTTCTCCTCTCCGGTTATAACACAATGTAGTGCATATATTCATCATCAGAACTAGCCTTCTTAGCCAGATTCCTAATAAACACACTGTAGAGGGAGAAGTTATATCCCTATGGAGATTTCTTTTCCACTGTCTTGTAGGCCAGAAGTGTCTTACTAAACAGACCTTACAAATCATGGGACTCTAATTAATACGCTTCTATTGTTGCCTATATAGAATTTAGCTTATCTTCAAAAACTGGAAACTCATATATAAGCTTAGCTTCAGAATCCTACTGATTCTCAACGGTACGATATACTCTATTGTATCAATCCTTATAAAGGCCGCTAGAGGGAGGAGGAAACTGATAGCCACCTTCGAAAATTCTCTTACAGGTATCTTTGAAAGCATGACCGATAAAATATAGTCTAGGTTGTTCTAAAGTACTATGGATAAAGGTGATCTGATCTCCAATTAAAGGCGATCTAAAATCACAAACTTTTAACGGATGAAATATATCGACAAAGGAACTGCCAAGATGCGTACTAAATGTGCCTTATAATGACCATGATAGTAAAGAAACAGTGGTACAAGTATCCTAAATATACCTTACTATCACTTCACGGTTCTGAGTGTCTATATATTTTACCCATCAAGTTGAAGCTTAGCTCATATTAAAATTATTTCTTAGGAGATCCAACTTAACATACAGCAACTATGTATTTCCTGACTATTGTAATGGTTGTTACACGATTCAGTATTCTAGCTGTGATGACCAGCGCCTCTCCGCTTGAGGGTTTCGGCGCTAGTCGTCTAGAATATCTTTTTGAGCGTGAAGAGAACGGCCGCGTTTGTGCAGGCCAGTCTTTCCAATATAAAACCCTTGTGTTGAAAATGTACCAACTGACTGTCAATAGGCAAAAACTTCCATAGTACTACAGCTCAAATCAAGGCATTTCAACTTGCTCAAAGCTGTGATCTAACGGGGACAACAATGAGAGGCAACAACGGTAAGCCTACTCCTTCCAAGACAAGCTGACAAACTGATTCTTATGCCGCTAGACAGAAACGGTATTTCCTAAGGAGTTTAAAAACATAGAAGACCTCTATATCCCTGACTGTGCTGGTATCGATGAACCATTCCAGGAGTTTCCAATCCTCTTAGGTGGTCGTATGTTTGGAGGTGATGGGAGCAAGGACCCAGGTTCTGATCGTATTATCTACAAGATAACCAATAGGGATCCAGCTAGTAAGCTACCTAGTGATTTTATACTCTGTGGAGTGATAACACAGATGGAAGGCCCCAAAGGTGGCTTTGTTATGTGTTCTAGCTCCCTTGAGCGCGCTGAAAACTGCGTACACTGATATTTTTTCTGGAGCACCAACATTCAAGTATATGTTGCTACTACTCTATGCTTTAAATATAAGAAAATCCTCTTATAAATTGGGTTGGTCTTAACTAGTGTAAAATATACTAGTTTTGTCAGAGCTTTTTGTTGCGGTCCAGTCTTAAGACACTCTAATAAATTTCCAGTGGCTTATTATCACTGGCCATTGTCTACCACTATTATTATACAGTACTTTGTATCTTTTATAATAGCCTATAATTAAACTCTGTCCTTAGTTTACCTATTAAAAACATATTGTAAGCGTTCTTTTGGTATACTACTAATCAGTGGTATTCCTGCGGAGAATGGTTAATGGGCTTCAGATTTTAGGTACCTAAGGCAGCCGCCCTCTGTATTTACATCTTGACACTCTGTACTAAGCCAGACGAGGTATATATTGACAAGATTATGCCATTCCACTACCTAAAAATGTCCTGACACCAAGAGGTTTCTTATAGTGTAATTTATATGTGTAATTCTGGCTGACAATATATTATCTTTAAAACTATAATCCTCGGTATCACGTGGTCCACTAAAACGTTCTGAGACTAGCGTATCACGCGTTATACAGTATACCCCCTGCCACTAAGAACTTTTGGCACAGCTCGATCTAACGCTGCGTGTCTGCACAATTCTATTCTCATAAAGCGTTGGATGGTGGTCCTCCCTAGGCAACGCGCTACTATCAACAAAGTGGTAATTCAGGCCTCGAAATATGCTACTACTACCTGTTATTCATGGCTCTCTAAGAACAAAAATATAAAGAATAAACTTTAAATCCCAGATATCCAATACACCGCCCTGTTGCGCGATTATCCACGACCGTAATAGGTAATTAAGTTACAAGTCACAATGCAGATTTTCTTGTAGTGTAATTATTAGTCTAGAATTTTAGACCTGTATTCTTATTTTAATAGACTTGCAGGGTAAACTGTATAATACGACAAGCAGACAGATCTAAATAAATTATATAAATTCCGTAGTCAGTGGTTATATGTCAAGGCTCTAATTAGGGATCATCTTCAAGCCTTCATTGATTGCTTGCCTCTAGCTATCTAAAACTATCTACTTTGTGGGACCGCTTAGCGGCCGGAAGAACCCACTTTCCGGGCCAATCGGCTACCAGACGGAATCCCCTAGCCAACATTATATATATCTATCGCATCTAAGTATTGTACCTAGAGAGTACACTTAGGTATAGTATCTAATTACTATATACAAGAAATAAATTTAAATAGTAAGTATAAAATTTTTTACTAAGTATTGTATATAAATGCGATACCTAGATATAGTATCTAGTTATAAAGCTTTATAAATAGAGAGATAAGGTAAAAGAAATAGAATAGCAAAAATAGAAGAGTAGAAATAGAATAGCAAAAATAGAAGAGTAGAAATAGGATAGCAGAGACAAAATTGCAGAGATAGAACAGTAAAAATAGGATAGTAAAGACAGGACAGTAGATACAAGATCTTTCTTAACATATAATAGTCTATATATACGAGAGACTCTCCCTAGTTAATACCGGATACCCCCCCTAGGAATAGCTGGGGATTGACAGCGTCGTCGTGTCCCAGGCAGAATCCCCTAGTCAATATTATATATATAGATCGCATCTAAGCATTGTACCTAGAGAGTACACTTAGGTATAGTATCTAATTACTATATACAAGAAATAAATTTAAATAGTAGATATAAAAGTTTTTACCAAGTATTTTATATAAATGCGATACCTAGATATAGTATCTAGTTATAAAGCTTTATAAATAGAAAAATAAGGCAAAAAAAAAAAATAGAACAACAAAAACAGGACAGCAAAGACAGAACAGCAGAGACAAGACAGCAAAAACAGGATAGTAGAGACAGAATAGCAGATACAAGATCTTTCTCAACATATGATAGTCTACATATACGAGAGGCTCTCCCTAGTTAATACCGGATACCCCCCTAGGGATAGCTGGGGATTGACAGAGTCGTCGTGTCCCAGGCGGAAATAAGAGTAGCAAATTCTGCCCGTCCGCCATTGCTGCCGATAAACTGGATGATATGCTGACTGATCTCATCTTCATATCACATAGTATGATACCCCGCTGTTTGTACCTCTGCACAGTCCGCTTAAATTCTGAGGTACTGCTGGGCTCTGCCGGGTTGACCCGGACGATTGTAGCGATGTTCCAGTGATAGTTCTCATCGTATATATACAGCACGATATTGATCTTGCCTGTATATGAGTTTCTCGATATATTCTTTCTATGAGTCTGGGCTCTTTGTTCGTTGTCTAGTTGATGTGTATTATTGATAGCCCCTGCTGCTACATCATCATTCGAGATCTCCTCCATAGGCTCGCAATGTAAGTCACCGCCCTTTTGTGGACATGGCTCTCCATTGGTATTAATTGCCCCTTCGGTACACCCCTTTGGTAACTTTCTCAATTCGGTAGCATACATTGCCATCGTGCTGCTCGCTTGTTGATGTTGTCGAGTCATATTGTTAGTTGTCATTTGGTGATGAAAGCCCTGCACGGCATGTGATGTGCTCTCTTGGAATTCGGCTTCTTCCCGAGTATATTCTGTATCTGTTTGTGATGGTCTTCGTTCAGCTACCGGCCCTGCAGTAGTATGGTTTTTCGGTCTATTGTGATCGACCTCTATTGAAGGTGAGATATGATTCCACGCCTCTATGGGTTGCCCAAAGCCAGTGATACTATTACACATATGCTGCAATGGATCCTGGTCATGGTGGATCTGACTAGGCCGGCTCTCTGGCACAAACAAAAGTGGCGTAGGACAATAAACGGAATTAGAAGCTTGGCCAACCGCGGGGCGGGCACCGAAAAACGCCAAATAGACACAGCGTCGAACGAAGGCTGTGGTAACTAGGTCCGGGACCGCGGCATCATGTATATGGTCTAGGAAGAGAAGTGCACGATCTTGCACGAGGGCCTTCAGCGTGGGGTGTCCACTACGAAATTTGCGCGGCACCGAGCGGCTGACCCGCGTTGGGGGTACAGTAACAACGCCTTTCGGGCGGATCATGTCAAAACAAGTGATAATATGACCGACAATCGAATCGATGGTCGCGTCGTCAACGTCAAAGGTTTCTGGATCACGAGCCTGAAGCAGAGCATTTCTCGCGATCAGCCGGTCAGGAGCCTGTGCTATTAGCTCCTGGATCTCGCTTGAATTGAAGCCCAACCGATGGGCTAGGTGGCCCATGCCAGATACAACACGCTCGTTCGCGGTGGCACTCCCTGGTCGGGCTAGCCGCTCTTTGCGTTTCGGATCACGGGGCATCTGCGGGTAATGCCGCATGGCGTACAGCCACAGCTGCCTGTAAGCAACCTCGAACTGCTCATCGGCGGATGTAGCGCGCTCAGAGAACGTGTATTCCGATGTTTGGACCATACAGACGTTGTTGCTGGATGATGCGTGTAGACCTTCCATCGTAAGCCGCACGGTGGATCGGGTGCAGGGGGAGAGCCGTGTCAAACAGTGGGCCCAGCTTTCAAAGCACTTGAAGTCATCAAAGAAGGTGTGCAGAGATGGAACAATACCGGTGAATAATTGCAGCCTCGTCAAGATCGCTTCCCGCTCATGCGCACCCATATTTGAGAAGACCTGGCCGCTCAGGACCAGTCCTTGCACGGATTCCGGTTCTGCACACGGGGCCATCAGCTGGAGCGTTTCGACTGTCCGCTGGTCGATCTTCGCAACTGAGATGGGGTCGTTGTCGACAAGAGAAAACCAGAAATCCTTCACGTGGTTCAAATAGTGGGCGATTTCCTAGTTCAGGCTGTGTCAGATGGGGGACTCACGAGGAAGTTGATTAAACCAAACCTCATCACACTTAACCGCTAGCACCCGATGCAGCATACTGATACTCATAGCCGCCCGATTTCCTGGGATCTGAAGAACTGAGTCAAAGGCCTGTTGGAGGCAAGTATTCTTAGCGAGCGCGTCTAAGCGGCTTTGACAGTTTGGACTCAGCCGTGCCCTCCACCGTAGCTCCCCATTTTGGTTTCCGTCTGCCACATACTGACGGATCTTATGATAAATCTCCCCATCGTTTGGGCGCTGCTCGTTGGAGTGTTCTTCAATTAGAGTAGTCCTCAAATCGTCCCCAATGTCTATGCATCATGTCGCTGTCAGTTGGTTTCTCACGCACTAGAGTGTGAGTGATACCGTCCAAGTACAGATCAACTGCCCACCAACGATGGCCCGGCGACAAAACCTTCGAGCCAGCTACAACCCGGTGGCGTCCATGCAGTCCTTGTAGCTGCCCGGGGAGGAATTTTAGGTGGGGCAGTTCGGATTCTGCGCTTGTACGCAACGACTGTGCGGTGACACCTGGCGGTGCGTTCTCAATAGCCGCGGTGAGATGGTCTCGGGAGACAATTGCCGGTATGCGATGGGATATTGTCAAGTTCTGGCATTCCTCCATATAAAAGATGTCACACAGGCGATCAATATTCCTTTGGTCGAGCTGTCGATGTGAATGTAGATCAAAGCTAATCTCATCCAGGTTTACTTTGGCGGTGCCTAGGAATTTAAGATGTCTTTCGGCCGTCACGTGAATTTCTCTCTGTTCAGCCGTGAGAGACTCCATGTTGCCTATCCTGGCTGCAGAATGGGTCACAAGGGAAATAAGAGATAAGGAAGAGCGCCGACAAAAGAGGGAGGATAAGGCTTAACTACGGCTTAGGGGTTGGACAGTTACTCATATATATATAGTCATAGTTATTGTGCGTTCACCTAAAATTGGTGTGCTGGTCCCATTCACAGATGCGCTGATTTTATTGCGAGGTTCTGTGAGTTCACATAACTTGACTTGACTTCCGAGGAGAAAGATTCTCCTTTCTTTCTTCGGCAGGCGGCCAGGTCGTACTAGTTCTCATTGCCTATTATCCTCAAGGATAAGATTTGTTCAATGCAAAGGTTACACTGCGCCGAGCCCAATGGGGCACCGATTGTACAAGCAGAGGATGTACTCTACCTCGCCCAGCCTCACCCACCACAGAAGAGACCAGTCCTCGCAGAGCCAGATATTTATAAAAAGCGAATATGTGGCCAGAAACGGGATCTGGTTCTCCCTGAGACAGTTAAGATGGGGAAACCATCCCACCTGGCTTTCATCGTGCGGAAGGAGTCACCATGGGAGACCTACAGGAAGGTCTATGACTGCAACCTGGATGGTCCTCTTGTAGTAGCGATACCGCGGATTCACCCAAGTCGGCTTGTGGCAATCAGGTCAATCAAGAGGAAAGACATCAACGAGATACCCCGCTTCTTTGAACGCCTGCAACACCCCTGTATCCATACTTGTCAACAATGCTTTTTAGACCAGGACCTAGTCTTCCTCCTCTACGAGTATATCCCCATCTCATTGGACCATATCGTTGCTTGCGAGGCCTACCTAAATGAAACGGAGCTTGCTGCGGTTTTAGCACAGGTAAGTCAATACAACCCCCCATTTCCCATGTACATTCGATCGGAACCTAAATACCTAGTGGAAGGTCCTCGAAGGCCTGCTATATATATCAAGCCAGCGACTTGAGCATCCACAACTAACAACTATCAATATTTTGGCAACGGAGAAGGGAGAGGTCAAAATTGGTCAGCCCACTCAAGTTCATTCCGGAGGTCAAACCTAAGACTCTTTCACAGGTGCCCTCGACGTATGTGTACCACTGAGCGCACATCAAGCCCCGCATTATTCCCAGGCCTTGAAGGCAATCACAATGGAACTGATGCAGAAATACAACGACAGACATAGCGAGATCAGGGTAGATGGTACGCAACGGTGGTCCGACAACTCGTTTAGAACAAGCTTTCTCTCCTCAATTACATCAGATGTGTCGATAGAGAGACTGCGAGAGGTGAGTACTTTATACCATGTAACTGTCAAAGGTTCATATATTGATATAGAGTAGCACCCACTGCTGACAGAAACTCGGTGGTGCAAGGGTCATCTGATGGGTTTGGTATCTTTTGCCTTGCGGTCTTCATTCGTATCTTGCTCTTATTCAACGTAGACTGGAACCTTGTACAGCAGTGGTTCTTCCGTATAGGCACTGCTGTCGGGTCCGCCTATCTGATGCAAAATAATAAATTCCGCCTGGCTACAATTGATTCCATGACCTGCAGATTGAAGGGTCCCTCTTAACCCGTTAACTGAATCTTTAGCTCTGCTTGGCTGATATTCTGTACTGAATTCTGAAGTTTCTTTCTTTTGTTTCTTTCTTTTTTTTGCACAGTCAAAACTCCACATAAAATCACCAGTAATATCATTTTAACCGGCTATTATGTGACATTATTTATATTGCTACTATCAAGTTCCCTGCTTGCCGTATAGATGCATTTCCACTAAATAATACTATAAAAAGAACTCAACCACTGTAGTCGTAGATTTTGTCTAAGTAGCACTATCCAAACAATTGTACTCTGCTAGGGCCAGCTCTGGTACATCATCTGTCTCGGCATATACAGTGAGACGGCTGGGAAGCCTGCATCGAACAGGCTAAACGCAGGACACGTCCCTAAAATTTTGTTTCTACTAATTTCTTATTTTTAATGTGACTGAGAGCCATGCAAACCAGGAACTAAGAGACAACTCTTACAACGGTTACACCGCCTCTTCCCATAGGTACCCGTGACAGGTTCGGATAGCTCGATGCGAGAAGGTCAACATTCATTAAGGTATCTAACTGTCAGAGTAAGGTATAAATAAATCATCCCGTACCTTTTTTTCTTTCCTCCCAGCGCGAAATTTGTCTTCAAGCCCACTTCCAAATCTAGATCAGGCGAGATAGTAAACCTAGGCAAGGTTTTCTATTTGTCCTCCTCAACGCAAATAATGGGTAAAAGCGCTAAAAGGAAGCGCGAGCGTGAGAAGGCCCTTCTTGAACAAGGGCAGTTGTCCCAGCGAAATGTTGACAACGATGGAGATGAATTGATGGATCGGGATAATGCCGTAGGGCACGCTGATAGCACAGAGTCGAAGACCCTAAAAAACGGACATTATACCCTAGAACAACGACAGGTAACAACAAGAATCATGCTGCTCCATGAAAAAGACTATTACAATATACTAGGACTCCAGCGGGATTGTACGATGCAGGACATCCGTAAAGCCTATTTAAAACTGGGCCGCCGGACACATCCGGACCAAAACAGGTATAAGGATGCACCGATTGCATTCAAAAGTAAGGCCACAAGTACACCGGTTATCTGTTCATCTCTTATCTACCAATATTGAGCTAACCGTCCTCTATCTAGGATTGGCAGAGGCCTATGACGTGCTCCACAAACCGAAATCACGAGCTCAATTTGATTTAATCGGTGATCAATATGAAACAAGCCGGACTCGAAATGCGGAGACGGTGTTTGGTGAGGCATTCGCGGAAAATGCTGCCGGGGACGAGTCAGAAGATGCGTCTGACGAGGAAGACTCAGAGGAGGAATACACACAGCCTAAGCCTCAGGTGGAAGTAGAGCGGGTCTATATGGAGGCCACGGAGCTAGTTAATCAATATCTAGCACTGCGCCCCGTCGTTGAGCGCCACTCAGCCGAGAGAGGGATTGTTAAGCTTAATAAGAAGATAAAAGAAATAAATCGAGAATCAGGCCTCCCCGAACACGAAGGATCAATTAAAATGAATCTACTGCAGGGATTCGCCGAGAGTTACCGAACAGCCGCCCAGGGAAACAATCTCGAGGACTTGACCAGAATCCGCAAACAGTTCGACTATACAAAGAAGAACCATTACTACCCGTCGTCGTGGCAATTACCAGAGATTCCAGGCATCAAGTATGACCCTTCAGAAACTGAGAAGCGGAACCTGGCGGATCAGGAGACCGCCGAACAAATCATTGGCTATATACCGAGCAGCAGATTTTGCGGACCCTCGTTTATCGTGAGAACCCCAAACCTTCCCACCGGTATGCTCATCGAGCAATATGGCGACACCAATCGCGACATGGCTGAAGCATACCTCGCTCTGCCAGAGGCGGAGAAAAAAGATGTGCGTGGCTCACAGGAGCGGTATAGCAAGGATGACCGCACCAAGTACGATCGGATTTTAGGCTGGTGTAATGTATTATCTTCGAAATGGAACCCAGATACTCGAGGGTGCCTTCCGAAGTCCTATGGTCTCATTCGCTTCAAGGACGGCAGAACCGACATTCTCAGCCGGACCGCCCTGAGAAAAGTTCTTGGTGTTCGTGCTGCGGATGCCCAGGTCAATCGATTCTACTGGGAGCTAGGCATAACTCCCCCGTGGGCCGCCATGCCAAGATTCCAAGCGCTCCCTGGGTTAGAGAGAGCCCTCATAGGGGGCCCGCATTCCAATACTGTGCGGAACCAGGGCTCCGATAAGGTAAGGCGGAGTGGTAAAACACGCCGAGAGTCCCAGGACAGAACCTCCGAGGACACGATCAGGACGCTGGTGGAACAGAATCAAAAGCAACAACGGCAAATAGAGGAACTGACCAGTTCTATTACAAAGATACTGCAACAGATACAGTTATAATACAGCTGGTAGGTTTGTTGTTGTTCTTGTATTACTAAGGACGATTTTAAACAATATGCACTGTGGATCATATGACTACTTAAGCAGCTAACGGGTGACTTACAGAATCATAAAATCCTTGATATGGGTGAGAGTTTAGTCACTGTTTTTAGTATTATCATTATTTTTAGCTAGATTTATACTTTGGCGTCCGCACTTGCCAGACACTTGTTTCAGGCCGTGGTAGCCTTGTTGAGTTTGGAGATTGTCTTTTAGCTGACCAAATAGAGTCAAGATGATTTGCAGGTTAAAAGTGGTTGTCCGATAGATAGATGAAACAAGGCAAAAATATATTTAGGAAATGATAAAGTGCCGGTGTTCCAAAATAGGGAATCCATATGATCTATACCAGCTATAGCTACAAGCAGAACACAAAATAACAGGCCCAACCAATAAGGGAAGTGAAGCGGTAAGGAACGGAAACAAAAGTAACAGCATCGTGGGCGACTGACATAGGCACTTCTTCATGGTGAGAATTGTAGGAACGGTAACGAACAATAATTAAGCGCGGGGAGAGGAATTGCTTTGGCTCACTTGTCCAGCCGTAATGACCGGAACCCACACAGGCATTCTATACTGTCAACTAGTTCAAACATCCTGTGAAGTTGCTGAGACGGAAACTCATAACAGCCCGACGATAGGGCCGAAGCAGCTGTCAATGAAACAGGATATGTATTAAAACTTTCCAACGCAGTATCCGTTGCTATAATGGACTCTCGGAGCATAAAGACACATGCCTTCCACGCTGATGGACTTCCGACTTCCCCTTCTATATTCAAGGCGTGAAAAACCATGAGCAAGGAGCTGTGAGACCAGTATAGTCTTGAGGTATAGAAATACGTATTCTCTGATCGGAATGCGTGGCACAGCCAATGGTGAGAGAGGTGCTGCAACACTACACATGAATTCGATGCCAGTTGAAGGAGCATGGTGAAGATAGCTGAATTATATGGCCTGTGCAGACATACCCGGTGAACCCGAGCCAACAATGCAACCACATCACCTAGGTGCAGCACAGTACTTGACGACACGGAACACACAAATTGAAGTGCCGCTTCATGAGTGAACCCCCTGCACCTCAACTCGCCATACCGCTGAATAATTGGGGATCCGGGGGGGCGTATATACAGGGTGTCCGGAAACTGCTGTCACCACCTACACTCTTCGATTGTCTCAGCAACCCTGCTGTGAAACAACGCTAATCCCCTTTGGGATGCTCAATCGGAGCATAGTTATCCCGCGTATGTATCGTAAAATACAAGTACGTATCATAACCAGCATAATTTACCGGACGAAGAGCCCACGTGTCTTCGTTAAATATTCTCTCTGCCCGGATAAGCCTGGATAAGCTGACCTTAACGACCTTGGCAGTCCATCACTACTGTGGTGTTGTTACCGAGAATGGCTCCTAATCTAGCTCAATCAACGCTCAACCTTATCCAGGATATGTTGGTTTCTGGTGAACTAACTACTTCCCAGATGGCTGAAACGGCTGGGTGCAGCAAACGCGCAATTATCCGACTGCGCGCTAATCTTCAATTATTTGGTAGTCTCAAAGCACCTCAGATTAAAGGCGGACGGCCGCGGAAAATTACACCAGTGATGTTGGAAGCTCTCTGTGATTATCTGCTCGAAAGCCAGATTTATACCTACATGAAATGGAACTCTTTTTACTGGATGAATTTGATATCACTGTACCGAAATCCACTATCAGTGATGCGCGCTTCGCCGTAAAGGCTGGTCCAAAAAAGGTTATCCGACAACAAGCAAGGGAACACAATGCTGATTTGCGGGATGAACCTGGTCTTGAGAGGTGTCAGGAACAGGCTTCCCGTGTTTGTCTAGTTTGCATACGATATTTCCTTCGGCGGGTGGGGCTGTTGACCAAAGAGACGGTTAAACTCGAGAAATCGATCGCTCGGTCGGTCCGATATTACGCCGACACCTTTGGCGCATAGGAAACCAGGTCAAGTAGCTCCGCCAACAGACTCATGTCTAGTATTCTCCTCAATTTACCTACATCAAAACTACACTCTTACGGGACAGTCTTTTTATTAGAGGTCATGGAATACAACTCGGCCAACTCTAACATTACTGCCATAGCTGAGAGGATAGTGATAGCTTAGCAATCTCTTGTATCTCAATGAGATCTCGTATAGCTACAGTAATTGGTTAATACAAGTAGATCCCTGCCTTTCAGCCGCGCCAACACATCGAAATGTGGGGTGTCATTTTATAAGAACAACGGCAATAGCAACCAACTTTACCTTATCCTCCTGAAGCTTTAACTACCGAGAGTTTCTAGGTATTGTGAAATAGTTAACGATGGGCCGGCTTCGACAAAGCTTATGCCACCCATTTCGCAGATATAAGGCGACTGGCAAGGTGCAAAGCAAGGAAAACCAAGAGAAGGTCCAAGACAACACGACCAACGCTCTACTATCAACTTCTTCTAGCCAGCCCACTATCCGCACAACCCAGTCGACAGAACCTTTCAGACCACTGGACTTGTGGCAGACCGCCTATGACCAGCTAGATGAGGAGGACCAAAGGGTTTTATCAAACGTCCAAGTGACGGCGAACTTTGATTTGGTTGGTGAGGTGATCCACCTAACAACGGAGCAATACGAGCAATATCAGCAGAAGGCGACTGGAAAACTTCGGGCATCCTCTAAGAAAATCATTAATGCAATACTATCATTCAAAGATATTATTGGCGCTGTTGCGGCTTTTGACCCTACCCAGCATGCAGCTAGTGTTTGGGCAATCGTGTCACTCGGATTAACAGTGTGTAATACCCGCCAGCAGAGTATAGAGCCAGTTGACTAACTCAGTGATTGGGAATATAGATGACCCAAAATCATCATGACCTACGAGATGCCTTATTCAACTCATCGGAATACCTGGCGGACGTTCTTGCGCAGTGTGCCTTCATCGAGAAGAAATATTACCTTGACGGCAGCCTTAGTATCAAAGAGGAGCTGGGAAAGGCGTTGATCGGACTCTACAGAGCCATCCTACACTATACAGCACTGGTACAAAAGACCCAGACTGCTAGCGTGGGAAGGAAATTGCTGGACTGTGTTACCGCCCTCACCGAGCACCCGCTCACCGAGCTCAAGGTATCTGTTGAAAAGGAAAGGGAACGCTTGCGCCGGTGGATTGAATTAGGGGAATATCTCCACCGTGAAGAGGACGCAGAGAATATCCTTCACAAAATCGATGAGCTAGCTGAATGTATGAATTCGCTTATTGAACAGTTTAGCCTTGCGAACCTACATATCGCGGGAGGTGCATTCTATGACTCCTATATCAACGAACATGAGGATTTCTGCCTTCCAGAGACCAGGACCAAGCTTCGTTCCCAGATTTTAGAGTGGGCTGAATCGCCAGAAGGTAAATGTATCTTTTGGTTGAATGGAATGGCGGGAACCGGCAAATCTACCATTGCCCGGACGGTCGCTGAATCTTTCCAAAACCAAGGACTGCTTGGTGCCTCGTTTTTTTTCAAGCGGGGTGAAGCTGACCGTGGTAACGCGAAATATTTAATATCAACTATCACAAGACAGCTGGTAACTAGGCACCGGCGACTAGTGCCTGATGTCTTGAACGCTATCAAGAATGATCCGAATATCGCATCTAAATTTCTCAGTGAACAGTTTGACAAGCTTCTTTATCAGCCCCTGCTAAGGCTGTGTCCACACCAATCTACAACAATTGTGATTGTCATTGACGCATTAGATGAATGCGATCGGGAAGATGATATACAAGTTATACTTCGACATTTGTTTAAGTTACAGGCAATCAAATCTGTACATCTGCGAGTATTTCTGACAAGCAGACCTGAACTGCCAATTCGCCATGGCTTTAAGCAGGATACGAACCATCAGGACCTGGTTCTCCATCAACTTCCTGCCCCGGTGATTGAACACGACATTCGTGTGTTCCTAGAATATAAACTTTCAAACATACGGGATGAGCGAGCACTTTCCCCCAACTGGCCAGGAAAAGAAAGTATAGAAAAGCTGGTGAAGATGGCTGTTCCTTTGTTTATCTTTGCAGCCACTCTTTGCCGCTTTGTTGGGGATAGAGACTGGCTTCCAGAAAAGCGTCTTGCAGCCGTTCTCCAAGATGAAGCAGTAACAGCAACATCTGACATGGACAGGACATATATACCGGTATTGAATCAACTCCTTGCTTCTAAGAATAAGAGAGATTCCAGGCAACTCTTGCAAGAGTTTCAAGATATTATCGGAGTGATTATTCTTCTCGCTACTCCTCTTTCAGTGGTGGCTCTTGCGCAGCTGACTTCAATACCGAAGGATGACATCAGCAATCGATTAAATAGATTTCACGCAGTCCTGAATGTACCAGAGGACCTTGAAGCACCGGTCCGCATTCTGCATCTCTCATTTCGAGATTTCTTGGTTAGCACAGAAGGTGACTTCCATGTTGACGAGAAGGAGACACATGGAAAAATAGCATCGGACTGTCTCCGGGTTATGGAAACTCGACTTAAACACAATATCTGTGGCTTAGCAAGCTACGGAACACAGCGCAAGGATATCGATCCTGGGGTTATTAGCCAATACCTCACAGCTGATCTAGAATACTCCTGCCGCTACTGGGTGTATCACCTAAAGGAGAGTACAGGTCATATATCTCAGTCTGAGATCCTGGCTTTTCTTAAAAAGCGGTTTCTTCACTGGTTGGAGGCGCTAGCTTTAATTGGAAGTATATCTGATGCAGTGGGAATGATAGATATACTGAAGTCAAGTATATGGGTGAGTCACTTTGAGTTCTACAGTTAAATAGTGGCTAATATATATTATAGACAAGCATCAATGCTGAGATTTCAGACTTTCTATATGATGCAAAAAGGTTTGCTCTTCAAAATACTTATATAGCCGGTATTGCGCCACTTCAACTCTACTGTTCTGGACTATTGTTCGCACCTGCTCAAAGTATTGTGAAAAAGACGTTTTTTAGCGAAATAGTAAAACAGATACAAAGACTACCGGTTTTGGAGGATTCTTGGGGCCCAAGGTTACAGACCCTCGAGGGCCATTCAAGTAGGGTCAATTCAGTGGCCTTCTCACCCGATGGGCGTACACTGGCGTCCGGCTCGGTCGACGAGACCATCAAGCTCTGGGATACAACGACCGGTACCGAGCGCCAGACCCTTAAGGGCC